TCACTTTATTTATGATGTAAAATTAATTTTTATATTTTATGGATATAAAAATAAAATAAAAGTAAATTAAATTGATAAATAAAACAAACATTCTTAATACTTTCTACTTCTACGATAAACGCATTTTTTCTAATTTTGGACTTATACCACTTGTCAACTAAGGGGCTCATATAATGGTTCAAGTCAATTCTCCATAGTAATAAACAGGAGAGTCTACGTAGAAGTTATTCCCAGATAGCACATTATATTCTGAGAATATTCTGAGAATATACTAAAAAGATCACGTCTGATATTCGTATGATATTCCTATGTCCGTAGCAACATTGTTAGCAGTATATCCTCAGAATATCGAGATGAATTTCGAAAATTTTCCTTAAGAGTGTGTAAGAAATATCTATATTAAAAATAATATTCTTCGCTGACAGAATATTATTTTTAATAGATATTTCTTAAACACTCTTAAGGAAAATTTTCGAAATTCATCCCGATATTCTTAGGATATACTGCGAACAATGTTGCTGCGAACATAGGAATATCGTACGAATATCAGACGTGACCTTTTTAGTATATTCTCAGAATATAATGTACGTTATCTGGGTTGCAAGTACACGCGTACCGAAGTGCAGCGCGTCGCCGCACTTTCGTCCTCACCCACGTCTTGACGTCTCTCCCGTTCGGTTTCGCGTCGAGTCGCGGAGCTCGCGATCACCAGTCTCGCTCGCGCGCCCGACCGGGCAGGACCTGGGTGTGGTGTGCGGCGTTAGTATATGATCGATCGTGGGGAATCGACGAGCGTGTTCGTCGTCGTCGTTGTGGTGTCATCGATCAGCGATTGTCCCCGAGATGACATCGTGGCTGCGTCAACCCCGTTGAAGCCTCCCTCCTGCCTCCGTCGATGAAGCGGCCTCAGGATGATGCAGGACATCCCTGGCGGCCCCACCGACGACCAACGTGCCTCGTCCAAGTCGGTACTGCTCAACACCTTCGTCGTGAAGAAGAAACGCTGCCGCGTGTACTTTCATCGTGGCACGCTCATCTGGGAGACCGAGCGACCGCCTTACAGTAAGCGTCGATCGCGAATTTCCTTCACCGTGGAATTTTCACTTAAGAGCCACACATCTCACGGATCATTCCACGAATGTTGAATACTTGGTGCTCACGACCTTGATTAACGTGAAAACGATTCTAATCATCGGACGAAACCTGTTCCGAGTGAATTTTCTTCGGGTACAGGTGGACGTTGGATGAATTTAACTGCTTGCTGTAACAGTGGGCTAATCCACATTTTGTGTAAACGGAGTAAATGAATTACTGATTTCTCATCTTAAAATTCAAAGTAACTTTAAAACCTGACGTGACGGGGCAATTTGACCAGCGAAATTGTTTTTCACCGAAAATTAAAAAATTCTTAGATTTTTGATCAAAAACAATTTAAAAACAATTTAAAAACAATTTACTCTAATCAGAGTAGTTTCGAAACTACTTTAATTAGAGTTTTTGGCTTGCTGCAACTGTGAGATAATCCACATTTTGTAGAAATGGAGTAAATGAATTACTGATTTCTTATCTTAAAATTCAAAATAACTTTAAAACCTGATATAACCGAGCAATTTGGACAGCGATATTATTTTTTAACAAAAATCTATAAGAAATACCTACCCTGTGATTAGAGTTACTTGACAATTTCTACTTTGTTTTATTGGATTTTGTAATTGAATGACAATAATGGGCTGACCCACATTTTGTAAAAATACAGTAAATGAATCGCTGATTTCTCGTCTTAAAATTCAAAATTACTTTAAAACCGAACGTGATGAAGCAACTTGGTTAGCAGCATTGTTTTTTTGTAATCAAAAATCTGTAAGAAATATCTATTCTTAGATGAATTATTCAACACAAATTTTTTTATCGGCCTGTATTATTATCTCATTAATCATGCGAGAAGTTATTAATTAAGAGCGACACGTCCCTCGTAATTACATCAAATAGTATCAAACAATCACAATTGCACTTTGATTAATGTAGAGATAGTTTTAAACATCGACAATGAAATTCTCTCGGAATAAATTTTTTTTAGAGAGCGATTATATATGCGATTATATATATGACGTGTGTTTCGTTTTTAACAAAAACATTGTACGCCGAAAGGTCAAGATTGCATTTTAAGACGCATGCTCAGGTTCGACTTCGATCTTTGATAATGTCTTCTTGGAGAGCTTCTACTCTGAGAAAAGATCCTGGTAACAGCTATTAAATGTCGAGTGAAATAATTGCAGTTAAATTTTAGGTTATAATATATATATAGGTTATATTATTATATTTAGTGATACTTATTCTTAAATATTTAGAAAAGTAAAATTATTATTTATTAACCGAACATTTAATTGGAATTGTTTTATTCAATATTTTGCAGATATTTCCAAACTTTTTTTCGGTGTATATTACTGCAATGTACAATTACTGGTTAACAAGGTTAAATTACTGTCATATTAGAAGGATTACTATTCCATTGATGAAGCAATGTTTTTCCTAGGTCTTCTTCGAAATACCGAATACCTTTCGAAGCTAGTTAACCGTATTAATGAACATTGAGAATTAACACCGATTGAATCATTGCGTTAACGACGTGTATATATATGTTTTCTCTTAACAAGTATATTGAATATTTAATTTACGAGCTATTCAGTTTACCCTTGGAGAGTTGTGGAACTAATGAAGTAAATTATTCGTTCCCGACAGACGCTTGTCAATTCAACCAAATCCGTTCTTGGCAAACATGGATGAACAAACGATGAGATGGCTTGTAATAATTTGTTGCGTTTTTCCCTGTTTGATTCCTCTTTGAAACGCGTTCCTTCAAAGACGAACATAGACGAATAATAATCGACGCTAATTGGATCATGGTCTCGTCGACGTGTCCCTTCTTTTGGCAAAAACGCCAAATATTTCACCTTGTACTTAATTGATCCTCGTTTTTGAACTATTGCTACTCATATGTAGAGTTAAAAATCGATTTATTACGAATTATCAAATATAGGTATATTCATGAATCTGATAAAATCCATTTTTCTATGATATTGCTTACTATTTACTATAACAATGACGCAACTAAAAAAACAATTTTCCAGAAAATGAGTTTGAATATTTTGAATAATTAAAATTCTAAAATTTTTTCTAAAGTATTAATTTTAAAATGCAATTTTGATGAAATAATTAATCGTAGAAATAAAAGTATGTTTTTGAAAATACATTTTTTATGTTTTCGTTTTTTTTCTGTTAGCAACTGCAAAATAATAATTTTTTTAGTTATATCGTTGTTATATCAAATGAGTAATATGAGAAAATAGATTTTATCAGATCAGACACGCACAATTTGCGGACAGTTGCGTGCATCGTTTCGCTTGCAAAATAAAACCCAAGATTATTCAAACCGGATCTGAATAATACAGAATGTAAGTCTTGAATGGGATGTAAATTGTTCTCGTATAAAATCAATTAGATTCAACACGAATTCACAATCCAAGCAGAGTACACATTATCACAATATCAAAATGACGCCAAAATGGTTTAGAAATGATTACTAAAAGTCACTTTTCGATCAGTCACGATTCATTTTAACGTCATTTTGATATTATACATGGAAAGGACGATTTTGAAAAGTAGAAAAAAATTAGTTATAGATCTAATTTTGTTTTGACATTCTAACAACCAGTTTGAGTCCTGCATAATTATTTTGATATTCCAACAAAATTATCAGATCTGTATTTACATTAAACAAAAAAATTTAGTACCTTTAGCGAAACTATTTAGTTGAGGCATTTTTAACAGTAAATATTTAAATATTTTGTTTATATAAAAAAAATTTAATTGGTTTTACAAAATAATTTCTCTGCTTTGTAAATAATAAAAATATTTATTTATACTAACTAAATAATTTAGTTCGCATAAAGTTACATTTGGTTCGGTACATTTTAATAAAAAATTATCTAAATTTTTGGATTACTTCAGTAAATTCATCTTTTTTAGTAAATCCGTATGGTGACTTATTATTCCGCTTGAAAATTTTTCGAATCAATTGGCTCGTGCACAGTGCATCGTCTTGCTTGTTGTTTATTCTCATTTCTTGCCCGTTCACTTTTACCTTATTTCTTAATGATCTCTTGACTCGCTGCCTCGCCACTTATTCCTTGGCTTGGCGTGTTTTTCGAATAAAAAAAAGCTGTAATCACAGAGCGAACGACCAGTTCTGTTCTTTCATGAGTTGTTTAACGTCGCGCTCAGCTAATCCCAAGGCTGAGAAACGAAAAAACACGTGCGTTCTTTTTTAAAATTTATTTATCAGTGCGAATCTTATTTTGCTAGATTGATGTTTCAGCGGCCGATAAAAATCAAAATACTATTATTACGTAATAAGGATCTCCTTTCAAGATCGCTCCTCGTTGAACACGGAAAAAATACTTTTTTGCTGAAATTTCAGATTGACTGTGTTGGAAATCCAAAAGTAAGCAGCGCGTAGTCATATTTATGAGCTAAATTCGTTTAAAAAATACATATATTTGTATCAGTTTAACATCTAACTTTGACCGAAAGTGGTGCTTTTCGTATTTAGATGATGTTCTTACATAAATAATCTTGTTTTTATATAATCTTATTATTGTCTATACTTTTTAAATTATTTAGTATGGAATCTCTGCACTCTAAATGAATGAAAATCGAGCCAATTTTGAAAAAGATATCTAATTATATTTCTGAATCAGTGACTTTCGATTATCTCAACTAGAATATTGTAGTAGATTTAATTAGAAAATTCAGACTTGTCCATTTTTCATTAGAATTCTAATTAATCCAATTGGATACTTTTCTCAATGTGGCTGAGTATTTAGACGTTTCAGCAAAATCGTTTTTTCCATGCGGATACCTCGCGCGTATTTTCCGTTCTTACAGTGTTACGTAATAATTAGTCTATATAATTCTTCATTAAAATTTATCTATCAGCGCGAATCATATTACACTAGATTAGTGTTTCAGCGGATGATAAAAAAATCAAAATACTATTATTACGTAATAAGAATCTCCCTTCAAGATCGCTCCTCGTTGAACACGGAAAAAACAGTTTTTTTGCTGAAATTTCAGATTGGCTGTGTTGGAAATCCAAAAGTAAGTGGCGCGTAGTTATATTTATGAGATAAATTTGTTTAAAAAATATATTTGTATCAGTTTAACATCTAACTTTGACCGAAAGTGGCGCTTCTCGTATTTAGATGATGCTCTTACATAAATAATCTTGTTTTTAATCTTATTATTGTTTATACTCTTTAAATTATTTAGTATGGAATCTCTGCACTCTAAATGAAAATTGAGCCAATCTTGAAAAAGATATCTAATTATATTTCTGAATAAATAAATTTCGATTATCTCAACTAGAATATTGTAGTAAATTTAATTAGAAAATTCAGATTTGTCCATTTTTCATCAGAATTCTAATTAATCCAACTGAATATTTTTCTCAATGTAGCTGAGTATTTAGACGTTTCAGCAAAATCGTTCTTTCAATGCGGATACCTCGCGCGTATTTTTCGTTCTTGCAATGTTACGTAATAATTAGTCTATATAATTCTTTCTCTCTCTTGTTCTTCTCTCTTTTTCTCTCTTTAGTTGATTGCTCTTAAGGCCAACAAGCGCTTATTAATACAACTCAAGCGATTTAGTCCTACAAGGTAGATCGGTCGGTGTGTCTCGAGTTAAGTTTGTGATACACGTTGAAGAGACTGGCTTTGATCTTCCATTGGTACAGCATATTTTGCGATGGTAGACTCAACAACTATTTAAAAAAAATCAATAGGTTACAGATAATTTGAATATGTTGACCTTTCGCTTGAAAGCAGAAATCGCAAGAATAAGGAGACAGGATTGTGATTTACTATGTTAAAAAAAAAAAAAAAATTTACTAGGCAAAGCAGAGTTTTTATTGGACGTTTCTTGTGCACTAACTTGTAATTTGAAGTCTAATCCTCTACGATAACCCGTATTAAACGCTTGTAAACAAACACAATTTATGTGAT